GCGGTTGGAAGGTCGGGGGCGGATGCCTGAGGATGTTTGATCCAAATTCGGCGAGGAGGGGTCGCGCATCCTCAGCTGTGGAACATGTGACTCTTTTGGGCTGAATTTCGGCGACCTCTCTCCGCGAGCCTCAACAACGACCCTCCGCACCTGGACACAGGCCCGTCGTTCCCGCGAACCAAGACATCTGCTGCGCCAACCTCGATCGCACATCAATCGCCATGCGACTCATCAACAAGGAAACGCTCGAGCTCAGCGAATTCTTTGGCTCAGATATCCCCACATATGTAATTCTGTCGCACACCTGGACCAAGGAGGAAGTCACGCTGCGAGAATGGTCCAACCCGTCGGACGCGACAACCTCCAAGACCGGGTACAAGAAGATTTGCATGGCATGCAGTCTAGCCCGGCGACACGGCTACTCCTGGATCTGGGTTGATACCAACTGCATCGACAAGACGAGCTCCGCTGAGCTGTCCGAGGCTATCAACTCCATGTTTGGATGGTATCGCAATGCAGCCACGTGCTTCGCCTATCTCGAGGACGTCACCAAGGACAGTTTGGCAGAGGCTGGATCAAATTTGGACATGGCTATGACATCAGATAGCACGGAAGAACCCGATAAAGCGGTACCCCGGTCATCTATCGTCTCCCAGCTATGCGCCTCTCGGTGGTTCACTCGCGGATGGACACTGCAGGAGCTTATCGCCCCGTCATCTCTTGGTTTCTACAGCCGAGAGTGGGCATGGCTTGGAAATAGGGCCGACTTCGTTGGCGAGATTAGCGACACAACTGGCATTGACAAGGAATACCTCTATCCACGAGAGGTTCGAAATACCGGGCTACCAATTTTCTTAGAAGCCCCCGTCGCCACTCGAATGTCATGGGTTTCAAAACGCCAGACGACTCGCATTGAAGATATAGCTTACTGTATGCTTGGCATTTTCGACATCAACATGCCATTACTGTATGGCGAAGGCCCCAAAGCTTTTCTCCGCCTCCAGGAAGAGATCATCCGAAGACAGAACGACCATACCATCTTCGCTTGGGGTACCGGCTTCAATATTGCACACACAATCGAAGAGAGACCACAACCCATGGGCATCGGAGTCCTAGCACCATCGCCGCTTGCATTTCTGAACACAAAACGCGCCTCCAAGATCTTATCCCAGCAATTGTCCATGCTTGTCCCCTCCCCTTATTCTTTGACCAACTCGGGGCTCTCCATCAAGCTTCCCGTCTTGCGAACGGCATATGGCTGCATTGCTATTCTTGACACGGATCTTGCCGCTGTTGGCGTGCGGCGTTGCATAGATGGTACGCGAACTGGGTTGTATCTTGAGTCTGATGTTCTGCCGATCAATACAGCGAGAGCTGTGCGACTGTCGCTTAAAACTCTTTCTCGCAGAGGCTCCTTTCTGAACCCGCTTACAATATGCTCCACATTGGCTACAAACTTGCCAGAAGCTGAGCGTATGGACCTATTTTTGAAGGCTGGTGATTGGAGGCAGCAACTTCAAGTTATCAACCCTCGCAAGTCCGGACCCTTCGGTCGATACGGACTGATGCCGGTTTTTGAGGCATCGATCTGGAATAACTTCGATCCTCAGTTTTCAGTATTTTACCAACCTTCCACGAAGTTTCCGGTTCGTTCAGCCCACTCTGGCGGTTTTGGGCCTGGCACGATCTGCTTTGCATCCCTTCACGCGGAGCCCGAAGCTTGGGTTGAAACAACACGGGGCTCTCGTCGTCAACCAATTCAGTTGAGTACCATTGGAGTACTTGTTGGGATCTACAACAAATTCACGCCCTCAAATGGCGTAATGTTCAGTGTCTTTACCTTGTCAGTTATTCGATACGGCGGCGTGTATAGCGGCTCGCAGATGATTTATGGGCACTATGGACTTGGAATCAGGCATGCCAAGGGAGCTCTCAGGCATGCCAAGGAAACTCTCAGGCTTTTCATGCGATCAGAGTTGAGTTCGCACTTATTCTGGGCCGAAGGCGAGAAAGAGAAGATCTTCAACAATATTATCCATGATGAGCTTCGCAGGGTGGTTGCTCTGCACGAGAGGCTGGATAAATGGTGGGCCACAAACGAACAGCACGACATGAAACCAATAGCAGAGATCGGTTGCTGCAATCTTGACCATCCAGATTTCGACCAAATTCGACTCGCCTACATCAAGACAGGTCCGGTCCCTTGGGGCCCTCCTCCCGACGAGAAGGAAGAATATCAGACCGCCGCGAGTGGAGGGAATGGACCTGGCAATTCTGAAGCCTATCGGGGCTAAGTGGAGGCAAATGAGCACCGTTTGGGATGCGAAGAGGCGTTCGAGACACTGTCGAATTCCGATATCTTGAATACCTACCTAGTGGAACTTGTCAAGATCGAAAAGAGGCCTGCGCCACTTCACATCGAGTGGCAGGGAAGAAGAGCAGACTCATTTCTTCGAAGACGTAAATGCCTCTAGTCATCAGGTAAGCGCCCGCCGTTGGATTCTTGGACTCGTTATGGCATAGTACCAAGACGCTGACGGTTGTTTGGCAATAATTGACAGGCATATACGCCCCCCTTTCGGCTTGTCGAACACCAACCCGACCTTCTTGGCGGCTCTTGTCCTACGACACACGGATGCAGGCAGAAAACTTGGCCGGGGAACGGCAACGCGTCCAGAAGTGCGATGCGGCAAGTCACGCACCGATCCAGGTTTTTTGCGAGTGGTTGCGAGTGGTTGCGAGTGGTAGCGTGCGGCACTCCGACTCCGAATTCCCGAAACAGTCAATTTAGATGAACCGCCTTGACCAACCCGCCAATGGCTTTCGTTCCCGCAAACCCAGCCTTCCATCTTCTCCACGATTCGACATCATCTTGGGTTCCATTTTGCGGGGCGCAAACTCATGATGTGTTCACGGGGCCCGTCGAATGCCGCCGAAGGCAGGTCGTTGCTGTCGGGCGCGTATAAGTCATGGAAATTGGAGGATGGGCACGGAAGCGGCGTGCATTCATGCCGTTGGCACCGCCGCGCCGAGTGGACACACACTCATCGCTTCGGTCCGTCATCGCGAAAACCCAAGTGCCCAGTGCCCAGCGTCTTGGACATCAACCATCTGTATAAATCCCGCCGTCACGCCGTGCCAGGCATTTTCGAGGGTAGTCTTTCTCGGCGTGCTTCTTGAACCTTCACAGTCGTCACTCACATCATGAAGTCCCTCACCTTCGCCGCCTGCGCGGCCCTCCTCGCCCAGAGTGTTGCCGCCCACGCCACTTTCCAGCAACTCTGGGTTGATGGCACCGACTACGGCACGCAGTGTGCCCGCAGGCCCGGTTCCAACTCCCCCGTGACCAACGTCAACTCGGCCGACCTCCGCTGCAACGCCGGCGCCGCCCGCGTGAGCGGCAAGTGCCCTGTCCGGGCCGGTGGAACCGTCACCGTCGAGATGCACCAGCAGCACGGCGACCGCTCCTGCGGCAGCGAGGGCATCGGCGGCGCCCACTACGGTCCCATCATGGTCTACCTGACCAAGGTGTCGGATGCCGCCACCGCTGACGGCTCCACCGGCTGGTTCAAGATCTACCAGAACTCGTGGGCCAAGAACCCGTCGGGCCGCGTCGGTGACGACGACTTCTGGGGTGTCAAGGACCTCAACGCCTGCTGCGGCAAGCTCGACGTCAAGATCCCCGCCGACATCGCCTCGGGCGACTACCTCCTCCGTGCCGAGGCCATCGCCCTTCACGCCTCGGGCTCCTCCGGCGGTGCTCAGCTGTACATGACCTGCTTCCAAATCACCGTCTCCGGCGGAGGCAGCGCCAGCCCCCCGACCGTTTCCCTGCCCGGTGCCTACAGGGCCAGCGACCCCGGCCTTCTCGTCAACATTCACGGCGCGCTCAGCAACTACATCGCTCCCGGCCCGGCCGTGTATGCCGGTGGAACCACCGAGACTGCCGGCCAAGGCTGCAAGGGTTGCGCCAAGACCTGCGCGGTCGGCAGCTCCCCTTCGGCGACCCTTGCGCCCGCTCCTGTCTCTCCTGCCCCTGGCGGTGGTAACGGCGGCAGCAACGGCGGTGGTGGTGGCGCCGGTGGCTGCGAGGTTGCCCGGTACGGACAGTGTGGCGGACAAGGCTTCACTGGATGCACCAACTGCGCTGTGAGTATTCCCCTTTTTTGATACCATATGAGAGAATGAGCACTAATAACTGCACAGTCCGGCCTGAGGTGCGTTGACGTTTCCGCGCCCTGGTACTCCCAGTGCCAGTAAGCACTTTGTCAGACATCAACCTCGCACGAGGTGGATCCGACGGCGGGAATTATATCTGCATTGGTGTAGGGATGTTTCGATTCTAAGATGTTAGGTTCTTGTACATACTTGACACGCTTCTTTTTTTTTCTTTTTACTGCATGGCATGGTACATGGGGCGGTGTGGTGTTGTGTTGTGGTGGTGCTGCCCGGAGATGAAAGAGTGGTTAGATGCAACCAGTGCCGGCATGACACGTCCCGGAGGGGGGAGTCCCGAAAATGGAGCCGGTCGGGAACTCGACGCGACGCTGGGCTGGGATTGTCGGTACGATAAGCCGGGGCTGGAAAACTCGCTCAGAGTGTCGGTCTCGGTACTAGTGTGGAGTGGGACGATTGCATGGTCCATCATTTCCGTAGAGGGAAGCTCAAAATGCGAATGGCGGTGATTGGAATGTTGGAGATGCATTCGCTTGTTTTGTTGTGTTTGGGAGGGAAATGTGAGATGTGAGATGTGAGCGTTGATGCGAGAGATGGGGTGGTTGTGAACCTGGCTTTGTTTTGAGAATTTCGGGATGATCCCGGTGTGTGTACCTGGGTAGCTAGGGGGGGGGGGGTAGTGATTCTCAGGGGAAAGCGGGAAGTGAGCGACACGCAAGAGTGTCCGGGGAAGTGGTGGAAGGGGGACCTGTTTTGCTGCCAGGGCTGAGAGACACCCGTGATAACGTGTCGCTCGAGCATCAAGTGAATATCCAATCAACATTGGCTCTGTGGTCTAGTGGTATGATTCGCGCTTCGGGATTTGAAACTTCCCATACTTTCAAAATATCTGTGCGAGGTCTCGGGTTCGATCCCCGACAGAGCCCTTCTTTTTGCTCAGCCCATAATTTGAGTGTCGGGAATGGGATTTGCAGATGCAATATGGGATTGGGAGTGGGATCGGTCTCTTTTTGACATGGTAGGGTTTCGTTGGTAGGGGCGTGGCTAGTCTGTCTTGGTTTTGCTTTTGTCTGCGATGTGACAATGGCGTTGTTTATTAATCCGTACCGACCACCAACGATGCGTGAAGCTGGAAGTGGTTTCGCGCGGTTGGGATGTCAGCGCGCGCGCGCAGTGCGGAGTGTGCATGCGAATACGGAAGACGATGCTGGCCATGGTGAACAAAACTCCAGAAACAATGTCAAGAGTTTTATATTTTATTTTACATCTCTCGGCTACAGTTTCGCAATGTTTCCATTCTAGAAAACTGACGCCACGATCTGCAGCACATCAAATGTCGCGCATTGGATGTGCCGTCGCACGTCAATGGAGGCGTCGCAATTGCCGAGAAAGTCGACACCCACCTGCCGGAGAGAGCCGACGGCACGCCGGGATGCTGAATTGGGGAGGAGGAGCCCTGGACCCAGCGCGGCGGGCGGGCTGGGAGCGGTGTGTGTGTGACAACCGTGACATTTCCGGTGATCCCAGCCCCCGGGGGACATGTTCGCTTGCAACACCTTTGGCGCGCTTGCTTGGGCTGTGGGCTAGCGCTGATAGCGCCGTTTTGATGACGGATGGGTTACGTGATGATTGTGGAGAAGAGGAGATGGAGTGAAATGCGAAAACGAAGCGGGGGAAAAAGCGGCGCCAGGGAGTCGGGTTTCTGGCTGGTGGGAGTTGGGAGCTTGAGAACCTGTGGTGGTGCGTTCTGCAGCGCATGGGCCCTCTGTATTCCCGAGAGTGTCGCGCCTTTTTGTCCTTCCCAGGCACCCAGATTGCCGGGACCCTGCCGTGGGTGCGGGCGGGCGCCCCTGACCCACGCTGCTGGGACCGGTGTTTCTGACGTGCCTGCCGGAGCGGAGAGAGCTCCCCTTGGGACGAATGGCTTGTTTTCAGTTAAATGCAGTCGGCCTCCTCGAAGTAGGCGCGGGTCCCCTCCTTTCTGGGGGTTTTAAACTGTTCTTCTCTTTGTGCATCCGGGCTAGCGCTGGGCGGAGGATTTTCTGGGTTATCAGCGGAGGACCATTTGCGACGTTTGCTTGTGAGATAAGCTTGCGCCGCGATCGGTGCGAGCAGCTGTCGCGATGGGCTCCCAAAAGCTCAAGAACGAAGCGCTCGACGAGTACAAGTTTACCTTTGAGTTCTACCTGGACTCAAGCGCGCATATCGAGGCCGACGACAGGCTGAAACGTTCCCAATCGGTATGCGCCCCGGCTTCCTTTGACATGTCGCGATCGCTAACACTTTGGACACGCAGCCCGACGACTACGAGTGCGTCCCCAACCCACGCGACTCTTTACCGGAGGGCAACAACTAACCATATCACTTCTTAACAGCGAGACAGCCTCACTCACAGACAGCATCTTCGAATACTTTAACGAAAATGGCCGCACCTACCACTCGTACCACGCCGGGTGTAAGCCCCCTTCTTCCCCCCCTCCCCCCCCCCCTCCCCCCAAACACACCTAACAGATCACCCCCCAACCCCAGCCTACCACTTCCCCAACGACGAAAAAGAGCTCGACCGCCTCAACAACCAGCACGAAATCCTCAAAATCCTCCTCGACGGGCGCAACTACCTCGCCCCCCTCTCCCAAACCAACCCGCCCCTCCGCATCCTCGACATCGCCACCGGCACCGGCCGCTGGGCCATCGAAATGGGCGACGAGTTCCCCCGCGCCTGCGTAATCGGCACCGACCTGTCCCCCATCCAGCCCGACCTCGTCCCGCCCAACGTGCACTTCTACGTCGACGACGCCAACGACGAGTGGCAATCCGGCCGCGACTGGCACGGCGTCGACTACATCCACTGCCGCGTGACCATCGGGTGCTGGGACGACATGGCCTCCCTCATCCGCAAGGGGTTCGAGCGCCTGCGACCGGGCGGGTGGATGGAGAGCCAGGAGCCGCACTGCGACGTGCACTGCGACGACGGCGAGGTCCCCGCCAGCCACGGGGTCAAGCGGTGGTGGGATGAGATGTGCCGGGCGAGCGCCGCGGCGGGGCGGCCGCTGCATATCACGCCGATGATTAAGCAAATGTATATCGATGCCGGATTTGTGGACGTGCAGGAAAAGGTGTACAAGATTCCGATGAATGGGTGGCCCAAGGTGCCGCGGCTCAAGAGGTTGGGGGAGCTGTGGCATCGGAATGTGGAGGAGGGCATGTCGGGGTTGAGCTATGCCTTGTTTCATCGGGTGAATGGGATGCAAAAGGAGGAGATTGAGGTTTGTTTACTCCCTTTTCTGCGATGCATTGCGGGTTTGGCTAATGGTTGGGCAGGTGTCACTCGTTGACGTGCGGAGGGACTTGGCGGATCAAAAGGTGCACATCTACGAAAAGTTTTATGTTGTTTGGGGAAGGAAACCGGGGGAGCCCTCCGACGCGGCGTCGATGTACAGCTCGCCGCGGTCTTCGCATTCGAGGGAGGTGCCGAGGAGCGTGAATACCACCAATGACGACGTGATGCAGACGGGGTGACGGACGAAAATCACGGAACGAATGCTTTCGACACGAGATACCATTTTGGCTTTGGTTATTGGGGTGGGGGGACATCAGCATCGGGGAGGAACAACAGCATCAGCATATCAGCATCGGCAACAGCATCATCAGCGCGAATATACAGGCAGGCATAAATAATCGTTATTTGGGTTACGTTGTGGATATGGAACTGAGAGAGAAGATCGAAAAGCTTGCCACCACTCTTGTGGTCCATCCTATCCGGGTATCTTACCAAGTCCCACCTCGCTCGCTGTGCAGTGCCGATAAGTCAAGGAGAAAAGGGGGAGGAACGGAGAAAAAGGAAACTCATGCTCTGCTGGTCCCTCAGGAGCTGGAGAAGGCCACGGCCGGGTTGAACGTCTTGGAATGATCCACCTTCTTCCTCGGAAGCAGCGCGAACCTCATCCCGTTCTCAATGATCTTTGGTCCATCGTTGCCAAAGTATCGACCAGACTGTCCTGGGTCAGCATCACGGTTCGCAGCAACGACAAGGGAACTCACCTCGAAGCTCCAGCGCTCGTTAGTCCGTACCCAGTTGCCGAGCCCGTACACGTACTCGCGAATCTCACGATTGACTTGCTCGCTTTCATCGGGGAACGAAGGCAGGTCCTTGTAGAGCATCAAGAACTCGTCCGCTACCTCGTCATGAAGCCTCCCGATCCAGTCGTACGTATCTTGGAGCGACAGCCCTTTTTCCTTCATGACCACAGTAACGAGGTTGTGATCCGCGTCGTCCCTGGATTGCCTGTTCGCTGTCAGCTCTTGCGCCCGGTGTTTGCTTGCGGACACGACTTGGGACACTCACTCCTTGTTGTACGAGTACAAATCGTTCCCAATGCTCACCATATCCGTACACAGATCCGTCATTCTCTGGATTGTTGGGTGGTTCATGACGTGGTCTGGGATGTTGAAGTTCAGCTCAATGAGTGCAAACGAAGGCAAAGTGCCGATGGTGTCGCGCCGCAGTGGCAAATAGCTCTTGATGTCCCGTATTCGGTGATTGCCTCTGTCTCGCGACTGTTGAACCACGGCGTCGGTGTACCGCTGGAAGTACGAGATGAAGCGCTGTTGGAACACAGGGGTGCTGGTCTTGATGGCGTTTTGCCAGAACTGCTGGGTGATGGTGCCCCCTACCCACTCTCCTGGCCGTCGGGGCTTGTATGGGTTACGGAGTGCATCCATGATGCAGTCTGCTTGGGCGCGGGTCTCATATTCGTCTGATATGTCTGACTTTTCGTCGAAGACGAAGAAGAGGTTCATGAGATCACATGCGACGCGGCATCCGTCTGAGACAAGGGTTAGACATGACCATCAAGGCATATAGTAACGGGATCTCACCTTTGTTCAGCGTTGGATACCCCAGGGATGCGAGAAGACCTGGCTGTGTGAGCTGAGCCCCTGAGCATGAGCATTAATGACATACCAAACTGGCATCTGTCGAAAGCGGCCTGCGCCTTTGGACTGAAGACATTGAAGCTCTGTAACCATGCATCTGACGCTGCAGAGCACTGGTCCATGTGAGGGTTGACAGCTCTCGGCCAAGGCCAGTGGGCCAAGTTGTCTGGAATGCGGATCCATTGCGGTGTGCTTTGGCGCTTGCCCCAGAGCGAAATTGGCCGTATTAGCGTGACAAAGGTGGAATAGACTGCCCCCATCGTGATCGCTGGCGCTGCCGAGGTAGCAGCAGACACAAGAACGGGAGAAGAAATCCAGTTCGACTTCTTTCGCCACGGGATGCGCACGGGGATGGTCGAACCCGACTCCATGGATGGGGAGGTAGCAGCGTCGCCCAGGCTTATAACTTTTGACGGGCATGTCCTGGACCCCGAGTAGTTTCCCAGGTGGGCCGCGATGATCCCTCAGGACCCGAAAAACAGAATTGCATGGGGCTTCCCCCACCCATCGTCATCACTGAAAGGGCCTTGGGCTTCCCGTCTGAGCGATTGCGAAGAAACTAAGCGCTGTCTAGCGTGCTGGCCGACATCTAAAGCTGCTATTGTTTGCTGCATCTCGTGTTTTTGTCTGTGGGTAATTCTCGGCCGCGCAATAATTGCTCGAAGAAGCCATCTCAAGTCGGTGCTGTCGCGAGTATTGCCTCCGAAGCCCGCCGCCGGCATCCTTCCGACTGCGATATCCCTCCACGCGCATGCCGCTGATATTGACCGCCATGACCTGTTATGCGTCGTGAGATGCATGCCAGACTCGCCACTGCCCATCCTTTCACTCCGACCGTGTGTGCTCCGAGGTTCACGGTGCGGCTGCCAACCTCCCACATGTTCGCTCTGCCCCTGGCATTTGCGACTGGACTCCAGATTTTGGTACCTATTTGTGTGGCTGAACAGTGTTTGTTTCGACCGCTGTCACGAATTGGCGAGCAAACTTTGCT